CACTATATTTTACAGTAGGGAGCAAGTTCTTCTCCTGGAATGCTGTGTTATTTTTCCACCATGCAAAGCGCAGACAGCTCTGGCATCTGTCCCCACTGTTTTTGCTAAATGATTCAGGCTTGTCCAGATGAGCCTTTGCATACCTCAAATAACTCTTCTTGCTCAGAGAACTCATAAAATGTGCATCACCCTTCAACTAAACTGTTCTTGGTGTAGAGTGAGCTGGACTGTGGAATGATGTACAATGACATTATCAGCAACAATACATTCCTGGAGCTCTTTTGAGGTGATCTGTGGTTTGTTTGTGACCATTCAACCCATTATGCACCCTTCTTTCACAACAACTGTTTCTGTGACCTCCAATTTTCTTACTATATCTCTTACTATGGAGAAACCTTTGTGATAGCTTTTTGCATCCTCCTCCTAATTCATGTAGGTGAATTTTTCTAGCTTTTAGGTCATTTTGAGGTTCCCATGTTGCTACTTTCTGGTTCATAAGGAAGCACAACTAGCAATCAGCTATTTTAAATAGTCTTTTTCACCAGGCTGCACCTGCGTTGGTATTGTTTAAGTTCACCGAGTCACCCAAATCTATTTTGTGTTGTAATCAGCCAGCATTATGTGAATACAGGTTTTAAAATCCACACAAAATAGAGGCTGCCCAAACTTTTGCATAAAACTGTATAAATACAGGGTGTTACATGGGCACTGAAGAGTTTGAGAGCTGCATCTACAGTATCAGCTGATCTGTCAGCAGACTGACAGCATTCAAAGGCTGACAGGAACTACTTTTAGGGCGCACTCACACTATGCTATCTGAACTGTGCCCAGGTGCGTTTCCTGGTTTGTTTGAGAAGTGTGAGTGCCCTGAATTGGGCTCAGGCATGGTTCAGTTGGCCGGCCCTGGCCTGGTTGGAAGAGATGTCCCACAGCGTGGTTCACTTGGGCTTTGGCACGGTACGCTTTTAGTGTGAGTGCAAAAACTGAAGGCGCCATGTGACTTTTAAGGGACTGTTTAATATGAATTTATTAATCATTCTTACTGTTCAATGAACATGAACTATCATAGTTTATTAAAGACGCAAACCCCTCACTGCACATCAGCTGCACCTTCAGCAATCTTCCTAATACCTGCAGCACGAAGACTTTTATGAGTATTTATGAGCGTCAAAAGTGTCTGATATGGTCTGCAAAATATTTGACAGTGTGTCTCTGCATATCAAACAACTAAAATTATATAACTAAAGAAATCTCCACTGTGCTGAGCGAGAGCACTTCTCTTCTGTTAAACTGAAGAGCGCATCATCAATGACATAAGCGTGCGCCTGCTCAGATGCAATGTGAGTGCAGGCCATCAGGGGAGAGGGAAAGAAGGACAAGTGTGCTACGGCACAATTCAAGGCAACTGTACATAGTGCGAGTACGCCCTCAAACACTCTAGTGCTAACTAGGAAACTCTGTGACTAGTCAACAGTATGGGGTGTGCATATTAATGATTCCTGCAGCCTGTTTTTTTTTTTTTTTCTGACTGGACTTTTTTTCATCAAGATTTTACACTTGTGGGATTTATATACGACTGAGGAAACAGTGATATTTGAGGCTCACTTTATGCTATTTCCATGTACTAGACTCTTATCATTCAGCTATAGCCAGGTGCAAAATATCCAGATTTCCACTACATGGCACCTTTAACATAAGTTTCAACCAAGGGTGCAACAGTTCACAAAATACTTGGTTCAAATTGATAGGGCACAATGATGTCACCGTTCAGAACATCTTTGGTACAGCAAAATAAAGAAATTTCCTTGTGTTTTACATATTTTTATTTTCTTAAAACTAAGATTATAAAAGCATGAACTCAGTTTACACATATGTCATGTACATGTATGAATGTGTATTGCTACACCCCTAGTTACAACACAGAAAGTATTCTCTCTAACACTCTACACCTGAATCCACAAAAAGACAGAACTAGAGAGAAGGGTCTGGGGCTGCAGACAGAGTGCAAGCAGAATGCAAGCTGAGACATCTGTTAAAGCGTTTACCAAACACCACCTTTAACCCTACCCCTCACAGTGAAGTCACTAGATCTATTGAGTGCATGTGCCTGAGACTACATGAGTAAGCTTCTGTTTGCAGCCAGACACGATTGGAGCTAGTATATAAATATATAATAGTAGATGAGATCCAAGACCGGTGAAGAGATGATGCAGAGCATAGAAAACTTTGAGGACAACACATACAATTTATACACAAACACAGACAGAGAATCTGACTGTTTTTTTTTTTTTCATTTTAAGGGAAATGGCACTCTTTAAAGTGCTAGTGAGTATTTGTCACAGTTTAGTTTTTTGCAGAGAATGACCTCCGAGTCTGTTTTCACACCTCTAGCTGCATCAACACCACAACATGTGAAACCACAGCTGTTCTTTCATTGCTAGATAAAAGCCTTATCAGTGCCCTGTAGACACACAACTATTAACACACTATTAACATACTCTCTGATACTTGATAATCAGCCTTAAACTAAAGTCTATAAGACACAGATTTGTCATTTCAGCACCAAGGACAGAGATAGATATAATTTTTGCATTGGAAAAGGGATCTTACATAGCTTCATACAAAGTCATGCAGAATAAAAAATGAATAAACAGCTTTTGTGAGCATAATCTCAATAAGATAATATTGAGATGAAATGAATGCAAACTAACATAATCTGACAAATCTTAAAATCAGTAAACTAGGATTGCTATAAAACAGTTAATTCAGAAGAACAGAATCAGTAGCTTTTAATATGCCGTGTTTAATGTTTCTTAACTTTAATTTGCAAACATATTCTTCTCCCTACACAATCAATGTGTCTGTTTGGTTTCAAACTGATCTGATGTAAAAAGGACATTTGAGTTTCGCTATCATAAACGTACACAAGCATCACATCATTAAAGTCTATAGAGCACAGAGAAGGGAACAACATAATAAAAGCCTGTGCAGTGTACAGCCAAATGCATTTGCTTTAGAATTTATACTCATAAAAGGTTGTTTTCGACTTAACTGCTGTGATCAAGACTTAAACCTTAGATTCAGTCCCAGTCCATATAAGGAGAGGATGTGACTGTGGCTCTAACTGAAGTCAGAAGGCAGAGACGAGTTTCATCATTTCCTGCTAAAAAAAGACACGAAGAAACTGTTCATTATAGAGCGAGTTAGAGTGAACATCAGCAGATAGCTTTTAGCTTTCTAAGTGTCTCATCTTATTTTAAGTTTGTTTAAAGGTGCCAGAATTGTGGTTTCATGTTTTGGAAGTTCAGAATGAGAAATAAATATAAATCACTTTTACTGTACAGTTTATGTATTATGAAATTATTTATAAAAATGTACTTTCTGTGTAATTAAATAGTGGTACAAAATTAAACTTCAGCACATTCAGCATGTGAAGAGATTATAAACCACAATTGGTCAAAAAAAAAAAACTGCCAATAAAGCTAATAAAGTTTTTACTATTGATTGTGTTTCATGCTCTTTAGTTTCTTAAATTTGTGCTAACATTTCTTTAAGCACTTTTACAGTCTATATAAATAGGATTATATTTTTGAATGCAGTTTAAAGTACCATTTACCCCATGTACTGTATGTATTTGAAAACCAACCGCTGTCTAAATAAAGAGAATGCATCTAAAAAAAATTACATTTAGATGGATTTATTTGTTGAAAATCTATTCCTGATTCTGTACTGATACTTTGCTAACAAATAATGCAGAAAAGTTCAACCAACTCTTTGCCCCATCAAATATGAAAAATGTACTCGTCCGAAAGAAAACCATAAGCACGCTTAATATAAAGGCCTGATTAAGAGTTATATTAAAAGTTTACATGACTACCAGGCTATTGTTTTGTTTCTGAAGAAACCCATCTAAACTGCATATCCCATTTATTAGAACTAATTAAAAGCAGTCAATGAAAAATATACTGCATCTTTCAGCATATTTTTGCTTGTGCAAATACCAGCAGCCTAATCACATCCTAATGTTACATGCAGCTAGTGCTACTTCGAGAGAAACAACATAATTATGTATATGAAACAAACATAATGAAAAGCCTACCTGAATTTGTGATATTAGTTCAACACAAAATCCCAAAAATATCTGAGTTAACAGTTGTTATCTATAATTTCTGTGTTCGCAGCTCTGTTTTCTTTTTCTTTTAAATGATTTGTTGTTACAGGGGTTACACACAAATAATAGAAAAAAACATTACAGTTTAATTCCACTCATACTCTGAGACAGACTCAATGCCAAGATCCAAAGAAAGCTTATTATTACCTATAGATATTGATATTTTGGAATGTAAAAACCATGTAAATGTCATTAATTGCCATCAGACAATGACAAAAAATAATAAAAATAGTTCATGACCTCTTCAACACATTGCATTGGGCTTTATTTTGTCTTAGAGCGTGCAAATGTATATATACTGTACATACCATGCATTTATCAAATCAAAATACTTCTGTAAAGCCCCTTATTCAAACTGCAAAGACTCATTTATTAAATGTTTATCATCAAAAACAGGAAATTAGAGGCCCTTATTTCCGACTTCTTTCCAGTGGTAAACCACACAATGTATTTTTGAAACCCTGAAAAAAAAATGAATTACTTTGTTTTGAGAGTGGCCATTTTAAAATAAACCGTTAACTAACTGTTCAATAATCAATAACAATACACATATTAATAAATGAGGGTTTATTTAAGAGTAATGGAAGGATGGTTGGTTTAGATTTTTTCTACTCATTCTGCTGTGGTATGTGGTGTGAAAGTATAAAAGTTAAGGTGAAAGTGCAAAAGAGCCTTAGTTGTCTGAAGAAGAGGCTGATGGACACATGGTGAGGACACATTCATCTACTCTTATTTTCTAGCATGAGTAAATGGACTGATAGCATGCTCATTTGTCCACTTTTTATAGGGGAATTCAAAGCACAAGGATCATTTTAAAGGACGACTGATAATGAGATATTACTTCATTGTGTTGCTTTCCTCAACTATATGTAAATACCTAGATGTATTTTTAAATATTTATTAAAATACATTTAACATTATATAATTACTTTAACTTTTTTTTCAACTCTTTTGTGCTTTATTTGCAGTCTGCTCCATTGGTTTTGATGTTGTTCAGGAGGATAATGTAAAAATAGTTGAAGCTGGTGAGGATGTGAACTTTACCTGCAAATTTCCAGAGCTGGTACAGTCGATAAACGCATGGTTTAAACAGACAACTGATGGCAAATCCCTACAAATAGTATCTTCATATTTAAATCAACAGCCTAGCTGGAATCACAACTTTGAGAAAACAAATCGTTTTATTGTTGCCAATGAAAATGGTTATTTTAATCTGACCATTTTTAAGACAAAGCCTTTAGACTCTGCAACATATTACTGCGTAATCTCAGCATATCAAACCATTGGAATGGGCTCAGGAACTAGATTACTTGTTGGAGGTATGTATTTATTTATTTATTTTTTGGTATAAGGTGGCTAATTTTATTTATTTTTGTTTTGACTGTTTGACTGTGCTTGTGAAGACTCAGCCACAGACAGAAACTCAACTCTTCATCAGTCTTTGATAGACACTGTTGATCCAGGAGATTCAGTGAATTTGCAGTGCAGCATCTTCACTGAGAGCTGTGCAGGAGATCACAGCGTCTACTGGTTCAAGCAAAGCTCAGGAGACTCTGAAGGAGTGCTTTACACCAAAGGAGAGAGAAATGGCCGCTGTAAGAACAGCACTGAGTCTCAAACACAGAGTTGTGTCTACAGTCTCCACAAGAACAACATCAGTCGCTCTGATTCTGGCATTTACTACTGTGCTTTGGCCGCATGTGGACAAATACTGCTTGGACGAGGAACTCAGCTGAATATTAGAGGTATTTATATTTTACATAAAGGTTTTTAGAGAAATATTTAAAGCTTGCCATTCAGGAGGAACATTTGATTCAGATATTGCTGGAAAACTGTATGAACTGATCTACAATCAGCACTCTGAATCATATATTGAATGTTTTGTAATTTCAGAAAGTGATGCTGTAAATCCAACTTTGATTGCTCTGGGGATTTTAAATGTCATATTTTTGGTGTATGCTGTTTTTGTGACCATAGAACTACGTAATAAAGGTAAGATATTTATTGAGACATTTATTGCTAACATGTATTTGTAATTGCACATATATAATTACAATAAATATATAATAGCTTTTTTGGGTTTATCAAGACCAATTTAAAAATTATTAGAAGTCATAATTCCCATAGCTTATTATCACACTGCAAAAATATATTATTATTATTATTATTATTATTATTATTATTATTATATTGCCACCACTTGGTTTAGAAAAATATTCCAAAAAAGGAAAAAAAAAAAAAAACATCTAAAGCAAAACTTGATTGAAGTACGTTTAGATATCTGTGTTGGGGAATATATGTATATGTGTATATATATATATATGTATATATATATATATATATATATATATATATATATATATATATATATATATATATATATATATATATATATATATATATATATATATATATTTGTTACCTTTTTAAGACCCACTGGATAACTCATTACGCTTTTTTGCCTTTTATTTTTTTTCTTCTTCATACACAAACCACACATCTCAAGACAATAAAGTAAGTTCTTGAAATTAAAAGAGCAAAAATAATGTTGAAGATTTTTTTTAAAAGATTGATTAGTTGTTTTTTTCTAATTATTGCAGGGTGAAGACATTCTGATCTTGGCTGATCAAAATGATTTGATTGCAGGACTCAACGTGAAGTTTTCTGAAGAACATTCATTTGTAAAGTACAGCATGATCATGCAAAAAAATGCCTATAAAACGCTTCAGGCCATAAGAAGTTCAACTTGAGTGTAAATGCAGCTTAGTTCATGATGTGTTTGCAGAAATTAATTTCAGCTCATTGTCTTTTTTTTTTTAAGATTTTTTTTTATTGAATATTGTTAATTGCATGTACATGTGGGCATTACCAGACCATATCATTTGTTGTTTGGTATGTTCAACTCTTTGGCTTTACAATTCCTTTGCTCAAATGAGAGCCAAATGTAACTTTGTTTTGTCTGATATTGCTGCTGTATTTGTTATTCATTACTGCATGTCTTTTTGTTCATAATTTCACACTCAGCAAGTATACAACATTTAAAACATTAAAATATTTAACAAAAAACTGCTAAAAAAGCTAATAAAGTTTTTACTATTGATTGCATTTCATGATCTTTCTTTTCTTTCTATAAAAATAGAAGAACTGTTTGTCCCATTGAATTCTTAAACATTTAGATGCATTTATGTAATAAAATTAACTTTAATTTATTCCTGATACTGTACTTATACTATGCTAAGAAATAAAGCAAAAATGTTCATCCAATCACAAATAACTGTTTGCTAGAGTGTTTGTCTGAGCTCCGCCCCTATAAGCAGGCTATTGTCAAAGATAATTGAAGGCAAGCCTAAAACAATTAGCCCAAAAAGCTAATGCTAACGCTGCCTTTATGGAGACTAAGAGTTACTAAAGTGATTGCTAGGACATTTATTTTATTAATATTTTATAAAAAGTTACATAATGACATTACAACAGTTTCAAAAAGAGACTCAACAATCCTGCAAAAATCTGCAGTTTTGGTGGAGCTTTCTGTGGATTTGCGCTGGCACAGATTCTGTGTAAGCCTGGCTATTAGCTACCAACATTCTTCAAAATATCTTGTGTTTTCATTAGAAAAAAAGTAGTCAGTAAAATATTTTTTGCGGTAAAATAGCCCATTGGGCTGGACTAGTATATTATATTATATTCAAGATATATTGTGCATAATATTCATTCAGGGCATCACGGTGGCGCAGTGGGTAGCATGGTTGCCTCACAGCAAGAAGGATGCTGGTTCGAGCCTCTGCTGGGTCAGTTGACATTTCTGTGTGGAGTTTGCATGCTCTCCCCGTGTTCGCATGGGTTTTCTCCAATTGCTCTGGTTTCCCCAAGAATCCAAAGAAATGCACTGTAGGTGAATTGAGAAGGCTAAATTGTCCAGAGATGGGTGGCAGCTAAGAGCATCCGCTGCGTAAAAATATGCAGTATAAGTTCATTCCGATGTAGTGACCCCAGATTAATAAAGGGACTAAGCCAAAAAGAAAATGAATGAATGAATGAATGAATGCATGAATGAATGAATGAATGTTCAGCAGGTTGACATTGGATTTTAAGTTTTAACATTCAAATTCTCACCAAACACCTGGGGTTTCATTTATAAGATTTGCATAGAAACCTTCCTAAAGGTGAACATACACCAGAATAAATGTTAATTAATGTATTAATGAATATGGCTCATTTAATTAAAGTAGTTCAATTAAGCCAATATTTAAGGTAATATGTTTGCTTAATAGTTTTCTAACAACTGTGCTTATTCTCCCATCAAGTTAGTTTTTTACTTAAAGTGTTTTCTCTCAGGCTATAATTTATATGAAGAACTTCACATTTTATAAGTCAAGGAAGTTTTTCCTCTGTTTTCTTTATTTTAGATGTTTTGTTGGTTATACAGTATTGCACGAACTCTCAAAATTGACAAATATTTTAATTCGTTCAAAAAAAAGGTCTGTAACCTTGGACACTCATGCAACAATATTACATTTATATAATTGAAAAGTTGACATCACACCCTGATCACATTCAAAAACATATGCTAAATCGTAGAGTCCTATCTCAAGACTGACGTCATGGAATGTCATTTTTAACACCAGTAATATTCGATAGTGAATGCAAACTAAAAGATTCTGATGTTTTGTCAATTTCACAATTAGCATTCAATCCCCCATGCTAGCTGACAAGGGAATTGAAAGCCAGTTTACTATGCAGAACTGTTATCTAATCATAGAAGTGGGCATTTACTTCAACTGGACTGCTCATAAAAACGACCCATACTCGAAGGAACAAAACAGCTTATTACCTATAGATTTTGATATGTTGGAAATTAAAAACCCTTTTAACACAATATACTGGGTTTTATTTTGTCTTAAAGTGTTCAAATGTGTATTTTAAAAATTACAGGCAGGAGTGAACGCCACAAAAAACACATACCATGGATTTATCGATTGAAAATTCTTCATGTCCAGCCATTTGTCAACCCCCTTCTTTAAACTGCAAAGATTCATCCGTTTAATGCTTATCATCAAAAACAGGAAATTTGAGGCCCTTACTTTCTGCTTTTTCCAGTGGTAAACCACATGATATATTTTTAAAAAACTGAAAGAATATTATTTACAGTTTTGAGAGTGGCCATTTTAAGGTAAACAGTTAACTAAGCGTTTAAAATTAATACATCTATTAATAAATGAGAAAGGGTTTTGTTAAGAGAAATGGAAGGATGGTTGGTTTCGATTTTTTCTACTCATTCTGCTGTGGTATGTGGTGTGAAAGTATAAAAGTTAAGGTGAAAGTGCATTAGAGCCTCAGTTGACTGAAGAAGAGGCTGATGGACACATGGTGAGGACACATTCATCTACTCTTATTTTCCAGCATGAGTAAATAGATTGATAGCATGCTCATTTGTTCACCTTTTATAGGGGAATTCAAAGCACAAGGATCATTTTGAGGGACGACTGATAATGAGATATTACTTCATTGTGTTGCTTTCCTCAACTATATGTAAATACCTAGATGTCTTTTTTAAAATAATAATTAATATACAGTAACCATTATATAATTCAATTCTTTTCAACTGTTTTTTGTTTTATTTGCAGTCTGCTCCACTGGTTTTGATGTTGTTCAGGAAGATACTGTAAAAATAGTTGAAGCTGGCGGGGATGTAAATTTTACCTGCATATTTCCAGGGCATGTACCATCGACAAAAGCATGGTTTAAACAGACAACTGTTGGAAAATACCTACAGATAGTGTCCTTAGACTTAAAAAAACAGCTTAAGTGGAATTCCAGCTTTGAGAAAACAAATCGCTTTAATGTTACCAAAGTAGATGATTATTTTAATCTGACCATTTTAAAGACAAAGCCTTCAGACTCTGCAACATATTACTGTGTAGTTTCAGCATATGAAACCATTGGAATGGGCTCAGCAACTAGATTACTTGTCAAAGGTACATTTTTATTTTGTTGTTAAGTTTTGTTTGTTTTATTCTGTGGTGGCTGATTTATTTTTGTTCTGACTATTTCTGTGTTTGTGAAGACGCAGCCACAGACAGAAACACAACTCTTCATCAGTCTTTAATAGAAACTGTTGATCCAGGAGATTCAGTGAATTTGCAGTGCAGCATCTTCACTGAGAGCTGTGCAGGAGATCACAGCGTCTACTGGTTCAAGCAAAGCTCGGGACACCCTGAAGGAGTGCTTTACACCAAAGGAGAGAGAAATGGCCGCTGTAAGAACAACACAGAGTCTCAAACACAGAGCTGTGTCTACAGTCTCCACAAGAACAACATCAGTCGCTCTGATTCTGGCATTTACTACTGTGCTGTGGATCAATGTGGAGAAATACTGTTTGGACGAGGAACCCAACTCAATATTAGAGGTAAGATGAACAATAAATCTATTATTTGTATGTGAAATAAATCTATTATTTGTAACACAAATATCTGGTTATAATGTTGAAATGTTTAGTTTGATCTTTCCTCTTTGAAAAATTATTAAATTAATTGTAATATAATACTGCAAGATAGTAAAAATCGGATCTAACAAAAGGAGAGTCCAGATGCAAAAGCTTTAAAATAATTTTTTCTCAGTCTCCTGTGTTTATAGTATCCTGTTATTTCACTTTGTAACCTTTCCATTGCTAAAAATTTAAATATCTTCAAGAATTTTTTTGATGCCATTTAAAAGCTTTTACATCCAAACTCACTTCACATGTAAACATGTTATGCAAAAACGTTTACTCATAATTGAAACAAGAACTATACGATACTATATGATAATCACTTTACAAATGTTCAATAATTAAAATTCAGTTTAATTTTCTTACAGAATATTTTGATTTTAATCCTGGTCTTCTTGCTTTGGGAATCTCAAATATCATGTTTTTGGCCCTTGTTGTTGTTCTGGGAATCAAACTCTGTAGAAGTCAAATTAAAAGTAAGACTTTATGAATACAATTTAGGTCTTAATATGAAGCAAATGTAACAGTAAAAATTACACTGCTATTTATAATAACTAGACTTTCTCTCAATGTTTTTAAGCGTCCGCTTCTCAAACAACTCAAGTAAGTACTTCACTTTGCCGTTTTATCAATTAAATATGTAATACTAAACATCTAAAACTTTTTCATAAAATGAAGTCATATCACATAGGCTTTCTCTCTTAACTGGAGTTTCTTTTCTGTTTTCTTTTTATATTAGGATGAAGATGGCCTGAATTACGCATCCATAACTTTTAGACAGAAACCTTTGAACACTAGAAGAGCAAGAGCAAAATTCACTCAAGATCAGTCTCTGTACGCACAGGTCAGATCACACCAGTAACATTCAGAGGTTTAGAGAAACTTCTATAATCTGAAAAAGTCATCAAATGTCATTGCAAGATAAAAGTTATCGCCAATTTGTAAATCTTTGCATGTTACTGTGATATTTAATTTTGTACTGTATATTTGCTATTAGATATTTAGATTTGCTAAAAACATGAAAAGTGTGGATTTTTGTGTCAGTTGATATTTGGTCACAAAGCATGAATGCTATTGGAATGTGTTGCTTTTCGAAATATCAAGCTGTAGTACATTTCATTTTACAACAGTTTTTAATGGGAAGCTGTGTGCACTATCCTTCATTTGCATCTGCTAAATAAATGTGTTTATTTATTTTATTTATTTAATTGTGTGCATGTGTATGTTATTGTGGAATTTTCAATTCCTATACTGCTGATGATGAAAATTGCATTACAGTACACTGTTTTTATTCTTTTATCTCTAATGATAAATCCGTGTATGTCTGGTATAAATATAGTTCCCCGGTAACATTCTAGAGCACATATATTTGGACTTAGCATTGCAGTATTCATCTAAATAAGCACCATGGGTGGTACACTGGAACACTAACACTTTTAATAATATTTTAGCAGCGTAATCGGTTAAATGCAAAACTAAAAGTCTCTACTGCCACCAAGTGGTACCAAGAACACTGGAAAGGGATCTGTTGGTTTAATGAAAGGGTGCCTCACACATGGTGAATAGTATGCTAAAATATTTGGCTGCAGCAGAGGTCATAAACTCTGCCCCCTCTCTCTCTGTACTGTGAAAACAAAAGCAATTAAACTACACTAACTAATATCTCCAAGAAATGGTTTCTGTAATTTTAGTATCTTTATTTTAATTGCTAAACATACAGGTGTATGTTTAAGTGTACAAGATTGCTATTACAGCAGTTATAGTATATGATGTCATAAAAACAGGATATGGTGCATTTATTGTATGTTTGTGGTTCAGTTTCAGATATATACTGTAGGTTTAGACACTTCCTGCTCTACTGTGCTGACTTGGGTTTCATATGCAAATGATGCTAAAATAATGATTAAGGAATTTTTGTTTAAATTTTTTACTAGCAGAAGAATGAATGTTTATTTATTTATTTTCATTATTATATAAGCTGGCATTTATTTAGCTGATAATAATTTTACAAATGAAAGAAGAGAAATTAGACATTGTATTTTGATCTTAGAAGCAATTATTATAACATCAGAAGTCTCCATAAGGTCTAATGTCAAAACAAGAAATAAAATACTGAGATGTGTTTTATTTATAAGTATAACACAGCAAAATACTGACTTACTACAGTCCGAAAACTAAGAAGAAAAAAACTACTTAGAACATAAAAAAAAAAAAACTGAACCCCTGTGAACAAACCAGGACCCCCTCGGCTCTCCCGCACCTCACCACACAACAACCCCAAACTGAGTGTTCCTGATACAGGTGAGTGGGCTTCCCAAACTCCCTGTTTTCTACACTCTATCATCTCTCTGACATTAACCGACACTCACCAGTTTTGCACATTTGCACCAGACACATTCTTACAAACAATAAATAAATACACTGCATTTACAAAGTGTTTTTTTACACAGGAGAGTGGGTTTGACAAACCACCTGTAGAAACACTCTTCTCTATAGTCTATAGTTACCGGAACACTTGTTCCCTTTCAAGCCCATCAACTCCATTCTGAGATTTTTTTTTAACAATTTTGACGAGAACGATAATCACTGACACTATCACCACAAATATGTAAACAAGAATATCAAAAGGTGATACTTATGAACCACAAAAAAATTTGTTGATCCCTGCATAAATTATGATGTGTAAACATGAAGCAAAATAACCGAGGATTACGAGATTTAGGTATAACGCAGGGTTAAGTATTACAGAGTGAAAAGCCATTATGAAGAAAGCTTTATCATTGTTTTTTCATTACAGATATGTTATTGTATGGGTGAACGCAGCAATATTAATTTCTGTTTTGTGTCAGGTGGATCACGCAGATGGACAAGTTTAGCATGAATTGACTAGTTTTGCTTATATACTGTAGTAGTATCTATTGAGACACTCTGTGTGAAAACTAATTTGCAGACCACATCGCAATTAAAAAGTGTGCCAAAATTGTTTTTAAAATCTCTGTCCGTGGTACTGAAATAACAATTTTGAGTGAGATTATTTTTAGTAAGCTAAGCACGACTTCATTAAAATTAAGTCTATGCTAAAATGAATGATATGACTGACTACAATGATAGTCAGATTATAAATAAACTGCTGTACAGACTCACACAAGCACATGTAGTTTATATGTGTAATATAATGATTGCACTTTTTTCTTTTCCTACTTTTTTCAACTTCCAAAATTTTCCTCAAAATTTTTGGACATCTTGGAAAACAGTTGCTGTCCTGTTGGCATTTTCAAAGAGTTTATCACTGATTTTCATCATATTTCTGGGCAAATAGTTGTACAAGTTTCAAAAGAACTTTGCTTGGAGGTATATAAATTTTAGATCAACTGTTTTAAATGTCTGAAGTTTAGAATGAAATCGCTGTCCATGGTACTGAAATACCACATGTTAATAGACACCATTTTTGTGCAATATTTTGCTTTCATATTGACTGAATTGTGCTACTGTACAAACACGCACTGTAGACTTTTATAATTTACATCTACATCAGTTAAAAAGTCAGTAAATTATTGTCATATATTGAAAAGGAATTGTTAATTTATTTGCACATTAATAAATACTGCTGAATTTTATTTTCAACACCTTGTGATCCATAACCAAGTAAATATATAATGTAAAAATACACTTTTTTTTGTAACAATAAAAATGAAAAAAAAAATATATATATAATCGAAACTGAACTTTGCAAATCACTGCTTCACATTATTAGTGAGGCTGTTAATAATTTCAATTTTATTTCATGACTAATACAATCAAAGTAAGATTGTGAATCATCTGCATGTTAATTATCTTTACTCTTTAGTTAATTTAGGATATTACTCAATCACATTGTGGTACATCATTAGACTGCTTCATGTTTTTATAAAGAGAGCCTGCATATTTGAGAGGTGAATCCCAGTGTTATTAATAAGTGGTCAGTGAGACCCCTCTAGTGGAAAATTTCTGCAAAAACTCCACAATGACACAATGAGGGTGAGGCCTGCAGCATAATAGAATGCATTTAAAAACAACACACTAAATTAATAAAGACTTTGAAATACTGTATATTATGGGTAAAGTCTGCATTTTATTTTCTGAATGCTTCAATTTTACTAATTAAACACATTTAATAGAGCACATCCATTTTAAAAGTACAGTATAAACAGCAGACAGTAACTTAAAAAATAGCCTGTTTCGCTCAATGCATATATAACCAGTTAGTTCAGCTGAGCGCGTTTATAGTTTATGATACAAAAATAAACTGTTACCATTCAGTATGCCATAAAGCAGTAATTTATTTGACTAATGTAGTGAGTGGTGTGTGGGTGTGTGTGCAACGTTGACTCAGAGAAAGGTGTGAACACACTAGCTGGTCAGTCCTGTGGTTGGAAAATGCTCAAAGTGCACCGTGCACAAAGGGCATGCATGCAAGTGATGCATGCAAAAGCACAAAGGTGCACAAACACATCTGAGCATAAAGCTTGAAGTGTCTATTTAATCTGTTAACAAACAGGCAAAACACTGCACATACTATAAATTAGAGCATACAACTAATTTACACAACACAATTCGACAACTTTAAAATTTTCATTCACCTAAAATCAATTAAAAGTAATAAAAAGTCATTACATATTATACAAATATAGTATTGTATTTCAAAAGAGGGACTTTATTTTTAAAATATCCAAACTCTATTATTTGAATCTGTCGAGTGCTGTCAGTAATGTCTAATACTGTATGTTTGAGAAAAGTTTATCCGCTGCAGTTCACCTCATCAGTTCTAAGTCTGTACTGAGCAGCTTCTTCCTGTCAGTCAGTCAACAGGAAATGATCTATTTTGTTTCTGCCTTCTGATTTGTTGGTCTCATGTTCTGACAAATGTTGACTGAGGCAAAGTCTGTGTTTTTTTTTTTTTTTTGGTAGAAAGAACCTAAGGCAAAAAAATTATATCTGAACATTCCAGGGTCATAACATAACATAACTCAATGTAAACTACTGTATAAATTATGCAACATTTGCCACCCTAACCACCTGCCAATCACACTTGTTTTTAACATATGATATATTGTTTAAATGATACACTTTTTTACATTTTGATATTTATCTGCTATCTAAATGTGCATATTATTGAGTATCAATATTGAGTATTAAGGGGGAAAAGCATAGGCTCTGTACTGAATTTCTTTTTCATTTTGAGAAATATGTTGCATTTTGCATCTGTGGAAGTAAAACACTGTGCATAGGCATTAATAAGCTGCATACATTAGGTTATTGATTAATGCTTTAGTACCACAATATTTCTAAACACAATAGGTTACTTGATTTGAGTGGAAATGTGCACACATTGTACACTTAGCAATTATTATGCCACCAAACATGAATCTCTATCTCTTCAGTGTATGTGCCTAACTGTTACACGGCCACGGTGTAATTATGTAAATTATAAAATATGATGACACTGTTAATGACAGTTATATACTGTGTGTGTTTGTGTGTGCTTGGGTGTGCTTGGGTGTGTCTGTGTTTGTGTGGGCTATACTTGTAAAGGCTCAACTGTCCTAACTTACAGTAAAAAGTTAATTATGACTTACTGAACCAGTAAGAACATTTCACTGGCTCACACAAATTAAAAATGCTAATATGCAACTGGTGCCTAGTATCTAATGATTTACATGTATTTCTGTGAGGGTTGGGTTTAGGGGTAGAGGTATGGTTAGACCCATAGACAATATCATTAAGGTGATAGAAAAAACAACAGACATCTATAAACTCCTCCTATCCTCACCAAGATAGAAAAACCGTGTGTGTGTGTGTGTGTGTGTGTGTGCGCGCGCACAT